GCTTATTGGAAGTGAGGGTATAGGTGGTGAGTGGACCAGGGCTAAAGAAGAAACCATGTGAAGGTCCGGAGTCCAAGAAGAAGGACCCCTTTCTACCCCGTTACTTTCCGCATTATGCGCCCTTCAGCGCTAACGCTCCCTTTGCTGTCTAATCACTCGCCGCGTATAGACCTGCGGCGAGTGAATAGATAGTCAGTGGGCGTTCTAGGCCGGGCCAATTGCGCTGATGGGAAGGACCATGCTAGATCGCGCGGCATATCCTTTGATGCGATTTGCGCATTGGTCCGCACTGTTCAGGGGTCCGCCTGTCTTTTGGGTGAGTTTCTCATTCTTCGACCCTCATTCTTATCGCGGAATCCTCATTTACTGGCGACGCTTCCGAATAAAAGCAACGCAAGGCAGAGCCTGCTCTTTTCTGTGGCCGTTTGACCCCATACTAGAGAAAATTCGTAGCAATTTGGAGACTCCAGGGGTAACAATCATTTGATCTACGCCGTGTAGCCCTAATCTCGGCCGGCAACCGGTCCACGATCTCTGTTCTTTAACAGGCGCTTGGAAAGTTTTTTGCGCCTATTGTTGACCACTAGAGCCAAATTCCGGCTCATCTGTTACCGCTTCATTAATACTGGTGAATTTTCTTTTAATCACGCATCTCGCCGTTTTAGCTATTCGAATGTCTTGGGAGAGATGAGAAGCTAGGACTCAGTGGAAGACCACCTCGACCGTTTGGGCCGTTGAGTACTTCCAAGGTGTGCATTTGGAAAACTTGAGCAATTTCATTTATTATCCACACCTGATTCTGTTGCTTTAAAGGTATTCCGCGTTTTTGGAGACACGGTGATGTGCTATCCGCTTCTGTTCGAGGTTAAAGACTTCTACGTAAACTCTGATCCGGCTGTTTTGATCGATGATATCAAGGTTTGTTGTTTTGTGAAAACTGATTTTTGAAGACTAGTCACATGCTAGATGTTGAATACTTCTTATCCAAGAGTAGCAAAGCAGAATAGTACAAAGCGTAAAAGCGTTGGATGATTCGCTTTCTCCTCTTTGAAGATTTATTGAACTCCTCAGTGATTCTAAAGCACATTGAGTTTCGCCTTGAGTGCAGTCTTATACTTCATGACCATATAACTTAGCATACGCATCGAGAGTTTCTTTTATGGTGTACGTAGCGCCAACGTTTCTCGGTGTCTGGCTTTGATTGAAAGTCGTATGAATCCTTTTGATTGCGCATTACATCATTTGACTATACGTGCCGTTATCTCTGGCCTCCTTCTTGCATTTTCCTAACTCTTTCATCGCCTTTAATTGTCGAACTTCGATATTTTGGTATTTTCAATAGTTGTTTGACAGCGATACTTTTTTCCAGCGAGACATCGAATTTGTTGCAAGGCGATGGAAACTGACTGGGCGGCCGACTATGTGCCTTCTCCTACGTGAGGAAAACATTGTGGGAGAGTATTTCGATCACATTCTGGATCTTCTTTCTCGTGCAACCGGCTATGTTAACGGCATTCGAGT